AATAAACTGTTCCTCCTTTAAGTGACTTCTTCATCATAGCAATGATAAACGATGGTTGGCAACTCTTTATAAGAGTACTGAACCACCATAAAGGGAAAATATAGTCATACTAAAAATAGGAAGAGTTAACTTATCATTGAGCACTAAGTATAAGAAACTTAAAAGAGGTTCTTTATTTCAGTGTTTTTTTAAGGCTTTGAAATCTGCACTATTATTTTTTTTCTTGCATTACCAATGAGAAAACAGACTTTGGTAGGTAAAGTAACTTTATAAAAGTCATAAGCTATTCAGTGCACATCCTTCAGATAAAACACACTACAGCCAAAACACATTTACACATCGTTTACAGGTTAGACTCATATCTAACTGAACTGAGCTATGAGTGTCTCTAGGTACTTTTTAGCTTTAGGTTAAAAATAGTTAAGAGCAATACGTTTATAACCAAGTTATCACCATTGTTGCCTACGCTTCAGTCTTCTTGTCCTCAGAAACAGGTTCTTTTATTATCTTCCCAACATTATATCTTAATCCAAACTCTGACATCTTTCAACATTCATGTCTAGTCTCTCAAACACTGTGGGTTGTATCTTGATCAAAATACACTGCTATCTGGAAAGTTGCATGAAGCCTATTTTGTAGGTGGCTCACTGAAGTGTTAATTGCACAATGGCTTAGTTTTAATTGGTTGTGTTTTTAATTAGTTTTTATTGCAGTATACTGAACAGCAGACATCAGAGTAAGTTCCTATGCAAGTCTGAAGATGTTGTATACTGTTAACTTTCACATCTGAGCAGGTAAATATTTAAAAACGATTCGTATTTTACATGTTAAAATCCCTCCCCTATTGATTCTGCTTTCTCATTGCTTCATGGATTAAGATAATCTCATACAGAATTCATTTTCTCTATAATTATTATAAACGTAGACTAAAATATACTAAAGAAATCCCACATATAGACTTAGCATTTCCATATGAGTTTAATAAAGTAGCTCAACAAATGATCTCAGATTGTTTCTGTGAAAATTTATAATCTAATACTACCTAAAGGAATGTTTGCTCAATGGCATATCTTCATATAGTATTATCTTCCATTTATGGTTTTCTAATAAAATTACCTACTAAAATTAATTTCTATTATATCATATTTTCCTTTTACAAAGCTCATGGAGGATTCTCTTTGATCCATGCACAGGTCATGAGAATCTCCCAAAGCAAAGGGTTAGGGCACCTATTCACATGTCTAAATTCAAAGAAGACTAGGCATCTACCCAACCCCTAGCATCAGCAAGGCTAAGTCTTCCCATTACTCCTGCTTGTTCTGCAGCTTCACTCCCCAGTAACCAGGAGCAACTCCTAAATCATTTCTGACTACTCCATGTTTCCCACCTGCGACAAAGACACTCCTTCAGGGCACCATGACAACCACACCAGCACCACAAGCACTTGGGATCCTGTAGAAAAATGAAAAAACTCTGAAAGGAAGCTAAGAGATAAAGGCTTACGAGTCCTTGCTTCCCACTGGTAGGAAGTAATTACAAAAATTACTTTAACACAGAGCTACTGGTGAATGAATAGCTTGTAATGTGAGGAGAGAAGCCTAAGGGCCTAGAGACTCAATACAAAATATGAAAAGCTGAATGATGTCATGTAAGCACTCCCCATCCCCCATAGACTGCATGGAGCAAATCTCTGATGATGACAGTGTGAGAAGTCTTTGGGGCTGGTCAGGGTGTGTGCATGTGTGTGTGTGTGTGTGTGTGTGTGTGTGTGTGTTTTAAATCTGAGTTTAGACAAATGACTAAATAGTGGAGGATAATTTTGATTGCATGTATCATTATCAATTGCAATCTTATAAGCAGAGTCAGACAGCAAATCATTTTGTACAGACTACAGATGTCAAAAAAAGAATGATTCTCCATTTCTGTAGCAATGATCAGAGAGAAGCAAACTCTCTCTCTGTGATTACCACAAGTATGCCAACACTTTTGTTTGTTGCTAACTAGAAGGATGGCACACCTCCTGACAGGGATAGCAAAAGCTATACTTCACCCAAACCACCAACTCTGCACTGACCATAACTCACAGAGGCAATGATAAAGTCCTGGAGGTCTCAAACTGTGTTTGTGCCAGGGGGATGGGGGTGGTAGGAGGGTGGGAGGGCACATACTTGCCTGTGCTTGTGGTGTCGGAGTTCAGCTTTGGGTGTCTTCCTCTATTACTTTCCACATTAATTTTTAACATGACCTTGAGCTGGCCAGTTTGGCTGGACATGCTAGCCAGTGAGTGCTGAGGATCCACCTGCCTCCATTTCATCAGCATAGGGTTATAGACACATAACACCATTCCTGGTTTTTATTTTGGTGGTAGAAATGTGAATTTAGGCCTTTATGAGCCACCTCTATAGACCTGGAGGTCTCAGTTGTAAGCAGTTGTAAGCTGAGCTCCTAGTCAGGGCAATGATGGATTATCTGGGGTAATGCTGGAGAACTCACTCTAGTGGTGAGGTCAGGGGAGAACTGGTGGTCGGGCCAACCCTGCAACTACCCAGTCCCAGAACTAGGTAATGACTTGGCCCGCCCCAACATCTACCCATCTATGATCTGTTGGAGTACATAACAGGACCTGACCTGCAGACACAAAGCTGCAAGATCTCCATGATACAGGGTGGCAGCAGGATGTCCAGGAAGAGTCCTATTGAGGGCCCAGCATCTTATAGTGTAGTAGAAACCAGAGGCCTCCAACCAGACCAATGACTCTGCAATGAATATTTGCAAGTAAAGATCTATGGACAAAGGGGTTTACTGTATGTGTCACACTGCAGCTTCCATGACAAGACTTTTAATTTTTTTCTCTTAAATGTGGTTTTATTTGGGGGGAGGGTGCAGGGACAAAGGGCAGATGCAAAGGGATGGAGAGATGAATGGGACCAAGATACACAACATAAAAGACACATAGAATAATAAAAAAGTAAAAATACAAATACATAAATAAGAGCCAAGCTCCATGGCTGTGATTCATATATCAAATTCAAGATAGTTCTGAATAAGTCTTCCAGTTTTTCCACATTTTGAAAGCAGTACAAGTTCCTCAACTGAGAGTGAAGATAGAAAGCTGACTGAATTAGCTAACAGTCTTGTTGTTGGTGAGTTTTACCATATACCAATGGGCTCAAAGCTATGACTTTTTCTGATCAGCCTAAGCATTATAAGCCAATCACACCCTTGCCTCTAATGGTCACCTCTAGTCATTCTTCCCACATTGCCCATCAAGCAATTACTAGAATATACATTATATTGCATATTAGGAGCAAAGTTGGAACTTAACTGAAACCATTTCTGTTAAATGAGAGTGAGGTGCTTAGGAAAAGGACAACTTACATAAACACACAGCTGCTGGCTTCTCCAAAAACAGCCACCCACAAAAGCAATTTTAAAATGTCCTCACTGTTTCCAATGGATCTCCAAAGCTATATTCAAATCATCCCCATGTATCATCCTCACCAAGCCTCTTTCTGTTCACATTTTCTATGCTTTAATTCTGGAAACAGATTTCCTTGGTCTCAAATTAGAATCCTGAGATATGTTAGATTATTGCCTCTCTTCCCTCTCCCAGCCACAAGATCCACTCTATCACAAACCCTACCAATTTTACTTCAATCTTTGTTTTCATCTGGCACTATGGCCCTGTCTCATTACTCATTCTCTGGTTACCCATCACTCCTGTTTGGGCTCTAATCTGTTTTAATTTAGAATAGTTGCAACAAACTCTAAGCAGACATATGGCCCATCTGACCTTCAAAGGGCTTCACAAAGTAGCCAGGCAATCGCTGGAACAAGTAGAAAAAATGATTACTCATGTCTCCAGGACACATGAATAAGCTTTGCAAGGTCACAAGTAACCACTTGTGGACCCTGGTAACTCATTATCAGAAAAATTATGAAGACGCGGTTCTCAAATCGGTTTCTTCCTAGCTACACCCTGGCTTATGCATTTCACTTCTCTTCCTGTACCACGTTGACTAATGGTGCATCGCTTAAGACGGAATCTTGACTTGACCAGAAAAGTACTACTTTATACGGCACTTTAGCATTCATTTATAAATCAATATATGTTCCTAAATCAGTACATTTTTAAATGATGAAACATACCATAAAAATACATCCCTAATTTATACTCTCATTATAAAAAACACTGACCCCTCTAGTCCTTTGACAAGAAAAGAATTGAAAAGCTACAATCTGGTGTTTAAATTCATGAATCTGAACTCTTCTTGCCCTAGGGAAGAAAGTTAAATTTCTGATACAAATAGTTAGATATACTTAAGAAGAGATCAGCTGATGTCACCAGTAGCTAAATCAGAGCACTATAAATACGAAAATGCAACACATTCATTTCATGTTAAGATTTTTCTTGGGACATCCTAATACAAGTTAACTGAGAGTGAGGAAACAAACTACCTCCTCCCATGGCCACTGCAAGCCTCTCCTAAGTGGGTCACTTTAGCCCATGGTCTATTTTCACAATATGACAAGCTTCTTGTCATGATTAAGGAAGTCAGTCTCCAATGTGTGCATTGTTATAAATCACTTTTATCATAAAACTCTTATTTGTTTATGCTGTGCCAAATAAACATCAAAGTCAAGTAGCTATCAGTTTGGTCTTAAAACATAACTTCGTTGTATTAATACATCTTACTAACTTTTACAATGACACAAATAGTGCATTATTTCAATATTACTGGTTAAAAAGCAAATAATTGCACATTTAAGATAGGCTAAAAGACCATAGCTTTAGTAAACAACTTTTAAAATAAATCATGAAAAGTGTACTGACATGTAATGAATCACTGGCATAGAATACCTCCAACATGTATAAAAGCTAAACTTGATGGTTATAATAGAAATTTCTATTCAGCTTCCACATTTCCCAAGTTCTCTTGACTGATGACTCCTCATCCCTCAAATCTGTATTTAATTATTAAGCCTATTGATATGCCTACCCCTGTAGTAGACGTCTTCGGACACACCTCTGGGAATCAGATCCACTGCTGCCCTCTTATAGACAATGTGGATTCTTCCTGTTTCTTCCTCCATCTGCTTCCCCCTTTCCAAGGGCTCAATGAAATACTCTTCAGTATCACTTCTTATCATTCCAGCCTAAAGAAAGCATAAAATGTGTCCATTTAAAAAAGAAATACCATTTTCATCTCACCAGTACATCCTTTTAAACAGCAAGAATGGAAATTATGAAAACAATTATTTCTTTCTTCATGATTATAAATTCAAAGCAGTTAAGTTATACCAGCCATTCTTGTATATCAGCAATCCATATATAACATAAGAAATTCATATGAGGGCTAGGGAGATGGCTCAGCAACTAAGAGCATTTACTGATCCTCTTCAGAATGCCCAGCTTTGGTCTCAGCCCCTATATGGTGGTTCACAACCCCTTGAAATTCCAGTTCCAGGGGGTCAGAGGCCCTTTTCACATCTTCAAGAGAGGGAGGACTGATGGGCAAGGGGTTCAAGACTGGGCTGGTGAATCCCACAGAAGCAGCTGACCTGAACAAGGGGGAGCTCATGGACCCTGGACTGATGGCTGAGAGGCCAGCATGGGACTGATCCAGACCCCCAGAATGTGGGTGTCAGTGAGGAGGCCTCAGCAATCTATGGGGTCTCTGATAGTGGATCAGTATTTATCCCTGGTGCATGAATGAGCTTTGGGAGCCCATTCCACACAGAAGAATGTGTTCTTGGCCTAGACACATGGGGGAGGGACTGGGCCCTGTCCTGAATGACATGACAGACTTTAGGGATCCCCCATGGAGTGCCTCACCCTCCCGAGGGAGCAGAGGGGGAATGAGGGGTTGGCGAGGGGTAGGGAGGAGGGGAGCGAGAGGGAGCTGAGATTCACATATTAAGCAAGCTTGTTTCTAATTTAAATAAAAAATAAATTAAAATCATATGGCAGGAATGAAAAGTCTATACGAGGCACAAAATGCCAAGCATATGCAGCTTAAGAATAAAATTACATGACACATTGTTTCATCAGAGAAGAAAAGGGGTAGATTCTACATCCTGTCTTCTCAACAACAGAATCTTATGGAACACAGGAACTAAAAAAATCCCTGATGTCCCATAACAACTATTATGGAGTACACTATATTACTTGGACAACTCATTTTCATCTCCCACATGGACATTACAGTATGAGAGATGTGAGTCCCATAACACAGGCTTTGGTAGGAATCCCATACTTCCAATACTTGTTAATCTGGAGAACAAGCACATATCCATGGCTAAAATGTACAATTTTGTCATTAACACTACCTACAATAAGCAGAAAACATTGTTAACTGACATAATCGTACACATTTTGTACTGTATTGAATATTGTAGTATAATCTCTATATATACATACACACAGATACACATAGAACCCATAAGTTTATGATTTGAAGTTCCACTGTTCATCTTTTTCTTAGTCTCTGATTTGCCTCCAGTCCATTAAGTCACCACATTTTGTAGTTTATCTACAGCTTTTATTTGCATTTTCAACAATGCACAAAGTACATTCTGATTACAAAACTCCTCACCTAGCTAAGTAGGCATGGAGGTACGCCTTTAATTCCAGCACTGAGGAGGGAGACAGATGGGTCTCTGTGAGTCTGGGACAACCCTGGTTTACATAGTGAGTTCTGGGACAGTCAGGGCTACACAGAGATATCCTGTCTCAAAACAGCAACAAAATATCACCCTCTTTAGCCTCCTTCTTCCCTGTATTGCACCCCAGTAAGTCCTACATTCTTATGTCTCTTTTTCTTTTCTTTCTTTCAAGGCCCAGTGAGTATAACCAGAATCATCTTATGTATCCATTGAAGACTGGTGGGTTCCTTAGTGAGCACACAATTGAAAACAATGACTATACTTCCTCCAGAACCCATCAGGAATCAATAATTCAGAAGGGAAAAGTAGGGGTGAGGGGACCCCCTCCCAGTTGATGATTGAAGGACAGCAGGTTCAGCTTAATGCAGGCCCACTGCCTTAGGGATTTGCGTATAGCAGCACAGTAGTAAACAAATATTAGCACATGTGACCTCTAATATTGATGGACAGGAAATGTGAGTCTGACCTTTCAGTAATTTAAATATTATCTTAAAGAATTAAAGAACTGTAAACAAGCACACACAAAGCAAATAAATCGCTGAAGACACGACTGATCTACCCTCTAGTTGAGTCAGTCTAGCAAAACAGTAGACACAGGCCTATAGCGATTCAATGAGGTTTGTTAAAAGGACAGAGTCATGGTTGATGAGCATGAAATCAAATTTGCATACTACCCCTTTCACAATCTCACGGTACACAAGCAAAATAACTTTGAGGGCTAAATTTCTTTAGTTTCTTTTATTTTCAAGATCATAATATAATTACATCATTTCCCCTTCCCTTTCTTCCCTATAAACCCACCCACATGTCCCTTCCATATGCTTGCTTTCAAATTCACGTAATTTTTCATAACTTGTTACATATATGAGTGTGCACACATGCACGTGCAAGCACACACACATACACACTCTTCGTCCCACATCTCTTTGCCACAGACTGGAAAAATTACAGGAAGCCACATCCAAACAAATTGCAGAGCTGTGGACCCCAATCCCAACGTACACATCTACAAAACACTCTAGCACATAAGGTCCAACTGAAGAAGGTGGGCAGAAAGATTGTAAGAGTTCAAAGATCATGGAGTTTGCTGCGAGATTGTTTCTCCAGCTCGTATTAGAGACTAATGACCTTCTAACCCAAATCCAATACCCACCTCTATGGAAATCACCCTAGCACACCTCACAATAAACCTTCAACTTGACCACTGCTATTATTTATAGCTTCTCACTCTCACATAGCCCAACAGGCAAAACTGCTTTCTAAAGTAATCATTTGGACAATGGAGGAATGACCTAATCATGGAAAGGCTCAAAATACCAGGTTTTCCTTATGGTAGTTTGTGCCTTCTAAAAGGTGTGTGCACCACAGAATCACACTAGGGTCTAGACTGACAGTCACTCTGACACTTTGTAAGTCTGCTCAATCAGCAATGGAAAACTCTGAGGAGCCCCACATGAGAGACCTCCAGGAGCCTGTCCTAGACGCATTGTTCACCATTTCTCTCCATCCACGGGCAGGATAGAGTTACATGGATCACAGCCAACTGTGAAGAGGGCCAGAAACAGAACCTGGCTGTATGCCCAGGAAGTAGAGACAGATTTTGATGAGCAGATGGAAGTGGCAACCTCAAATGAACTAACGTCACACCTTTGCTTACATTTCCATTGCTGCCCCTTGCACTTAAAATGACACTCACTGCCACAGCCCCACAGTCCTGCTTCACACGGCTCTACATTCTTCCCTCAAGGAACCAGTTACCACACTCCTCAGACCCCAGTCACAGGGGAAATGCTGTTATGCTTAGAAAGCCCTCCCTAATGCTGGGTGGTGGTGGTGCACGCCTTTAACCCCAGCACTCTGTGAGTTTGAGACCAGCCTGCTCTACAACAGCTAGTTCCAGAACAGCCTCCAAAAGCCACAAAGAAACCCTGTCTTGAACCATCCCCCAAAAGAAAGCCCACCCTACACAGGCACATTGCCATTTTATATTCTCCATGTCTCATCAAAAAATGCTATCTTCTTAAAAGTGATTTTCTCATACCTTCATTCCACAGAAATTTGGTGTTCTCCTCAGGCCAACCATTCAGACTCATAGCATCACAGCAATGTGTTGCTTCTGCCATTTTTCACTCTTATTACAAATGGTAAGGGTTGGGCTTACCTGCATGTGAGTATTTGTTATTCTTTCTCCTCTGCAAGTTTGTCAGCTGCCAGGGCAGACGTGTCTATCTTAACTAGCTTTTTCCCCCCTGAGGTTGGATTTTTTAATTAATTAATTTTTTTTCATTTATATACTGACCACAGTTTCTCTTACCGCCTCTCCTCCTGTTCCTACTCTCCCCTCCAACACAGCATGGCACATCAAGTTGAGGCAAGACCAAGCTCCTCCCCCTCCATCAAAACTGGATAAGGCAATGCAACATGGGAAATAGGTTCCTAAAAGCCAACTCAAGAGCCAGGGGCAGGTCCTGATCCCACTAATAGGAGCCTCACAAACAGCTACACAAATGTCACACACATGGTCCAGAGTCCATGAGCTCCCATGATCTCAGGTCAGCTGTCTCTGTTGGTCCTCCCACCATGACCTTGACAGTCTCCACATGCTGCTCTTACAATCCTTCCTTGCTCTATTTAACAGGACTCATGGAGCTTGACCCAGTGCTTGACTGTGGATCTCTGCATCTTCTTCCATTGATTACTGGATGAAGGCTCTCTGATGACAATTAAGGTAGTCACCAATTTGATTACAGTAGATGGCCAATTCGGCACCCTCTCCACTACTGCTAGAGTCTTAGCTGGGGTCATCCTTGTAGATTTCTGAAAGTTTCCTGGGCAACACGTGTTTTCCCTAACCCCTAAATCCCCCCTCCCATCAAAACATTTTTCGTTTTACCCCAACCCGACCAACCCAAGCCCTCATGTTTCCATCCCTCCCATCTCCTCCCACTACTCCTTCTGTCCCCGTTTACCCAGGAGATTTCTTCTATTTCCCCTTCCCAGGGAAACCTATGAGTCCTTCTTTGGGATTTCCCTGTTCTGGGGATGTGGATTGTAACCTGGTTATCCTACACTTTACACCTAACATCCACTTATGAGTGAGTACATACCAAGTTTGTCTTTCTCGGTCTGGGTTACCTCACTCAAAATGATTTTTTTCTAGTTCCATCCATTTGCCTGCAAATTTCATGATGTCATTTTTTTTACAGCTGAGTAATACTCCATTGTATACATGTACCACATTTTCTTTACCCATTATTTGGTTGAGGGTCATCTAGGTTGTTTCCAGGTTCTGGCTATTACGAATGCTAATCATATAGCATTGGAACAAATTTTGTATTCAGTTTTGTAATGAACAACTATATGATGAACTACAGAAATGAAGGCATATGTCATAGCTACACTTGTGTGTAATCAAATGCCCACAAGAACAATTAAAAGGGGGAATATTTGTCTTGACGGAGAGTTTTGGAGTATTCAGTCCACAAGTGCTA